TTATTTAAAATCATAGTTTGTGAAATATTTATTGATCTGGAATTAAACTTTTTCACTATGCAAACAATATGCACAATCAAATGAGAAGGCGTATTAGCCAGGTTTACACATGATATTTAATGTCACACCTGCTGCACGCTTTTCAAAACATTATATCACAGGTAGTTTGTCTGACGACATTAGAAAGCTTTCAATCAGTAGAAAGGTCAAATAACTAATTAATTAAAGTTTTATATAAAAGTGTTACTTTCTCACGGAATCAATTCCTTAACTAAACATAGAGAAAAAACATGCGACAGCTACACGGTTATTAAATTGATAGTATTAAATAAATGTATTATTGAAACCATTTTGAGAGCTGGAATATTGTAAAGAGGTAAAAATGAAGAATACTTGAAATGAGAGACAAATATAAACACCTTAAATTCTGATCAAGTCTGATCTTTTTATTCTGGTGTCGAAAAAATTTATTGGCATGTCACTTTCAGATAATTCATTTAATTTTCTGTTATTTTAAATGTAAATCATACGTAATCAGTGTTTCTGGAAGTGAAGTAGTTTTCATGTTTCTATTTACAAGTGGTCTTCAATGACAGCCTGTGACATCTAGCTTGAAACAGTGATTGTTTTGTCTTGCAGCAGTTGTCCATATTTTTGCATTAACATTATTGTGACGAGGAATGACAAACTGAGCAGTTGTGTAATTCTTCACAAGCCACCACTGGTAATATAATGAGAAATAATGTAGGATGCTTTGTCAGCCAGTTTTTGTTTCGTAACTATGAATTCTGTGTTAGACACGATTAGAACAGATGAAGCGGTAGAGATGTTGCGGAAGTCTGTGTTGGGATCCATAAAGAGGCTGTAATGGGTCTTCCTGCTGGTGACACAGTGTGTGGTTTCTTTTGTTTAAGAAAACAAGGTTATTTTCTGGACAGAAGTTTCAGGTTTTAAATGTTATTCTCATTAAATTAATTCATAAACCAACAAGTCTGACATGTTTTTAACAGCATGACTTTTAAACACAAACACTTAAAGCAGTTCAATAGAATTCAGCATGTGAACACATAATACTACTTTGACTGTTTCTTCAAATTGCACAACTCATTGTCTTGTAACTATCACATGGAACCAAATGCTACCATAACTAGCTTCAGCATTTGGCTTCTGTCACAAATTCGAGTTGAACTGTTCCACTCCATGATCTTTCCTCTGTTCCTATACTTCCATTTGTTGCACTGCTAATTGTGGACTGACAGGCAGCAATCTTGGAATCATTCTCAAAATTTATATGTAAGTTTTAAGTTCTCCTTGGTCTCTAGTTGAACATTTGTTTTATGTTATACTTGTTCTGTCAGTGTTCTTTCAAAACTTTCGTACTTGTGCTGTCAGCGTCCCTTGGAATCTATGATACTTGTACTGTCAGTGTCCCTCAGAATGTAATATATCTATACTGTCATTGTCCTTAGTAACCTTTTATACAGTCAGTGGCCTTCAGAAATTACTATAGTTACATTGCCACTGTTCTAGTGAATCTTTTAACCTTGTAATGTTAGACTTATTTGTCTCTCCCAATCTTTTATGGCTACTATTTCACATCATTTTAACATCACAGTGGGAGATTTGATCTTTCAGTGATAGTGACATTTATCAGATACACAGTTATCTGCCCTTGTTTTACATATAAGTCCTACCTGTCCTGATTGAGGTCAGCAGGAATTGTCCTGTCGTTCACATTGGCCATGATGGATTGCTGTGAGGCATCCCTGCCCAGGAACAGCATGAGTTTTGTTAGGCAAGGTCAAACTTAGCATGAACTGACGCTATTTACTGTATAAGAAATGGTCTGTTTAAATCTGTCTGAAATTAGATAATATTTGAGTTCAAAGGTTTGCAAATCATTTAGTCTCTGTATTTGTTACTATTACAGATGAAAGTTTCATAATAACTTATAAATGATAAAGTAATGATGTATAATGTTTTTTTTGTAAGAAAGCATTGTCTGTGATTTTGGTTTATTAGTAAAAAAAACAATAAATCGTCTCAGAAGTGAACTTCTCTTTGGTCAGTCTTATAGATTTTTTCTTTATGGTTATGATGCCAAGGCAGGGTGTTCATCATCTGGCAACTGTCAACTTTTTACTGGAAATGGCTGATTGATAGAACAGATTAGACTAAATGTGGTCAGAAGCATCCTTAAGGAAAGGGGAGCCAGGTTTATATAAAGGGTGGTTCTCTGCCCCACAAGGCCTGAGGAACATTACGCAAAAGGAAAAATTATCAAATTCTTTGAACATCTTTCTTCTTTAGGGAAATAGAGAGAAATAGAGTAAATCTTTAAATATCCTTCTCCCACAGGAATTGGTGGACTCTCTCCAATTTTTATGTAAAGCATTCTTGGATGAAGGAGGGAAAAACTTTGTATGATAGGTTGTCTCATGCCTTAGGGCTAGTGATGCAGAGTTGAATAGGTGAAATATTGCAAGTCTTTTAAATCCTTTTGCAGGAGTGCCTGCATTCTGTCCCTAATTGGTCAAAATTATCCTAGGTGAAGAGGAAGCCTGGTGATTTTGGTGGGTCCTTTGGGTGGGGCCCAGTAAGGAATATAAGGCAAATTCATTGAAATCCTTCTTCTTCTGGAAGAATGCCTGGATTTTGTATTAATTTGGTGTAAAGCAAGCTTAAAGGGAATGGGAATCAATTTTGTATATACTATTTGTCTTTGCCTTCTTGGACTGGACAAGTAGAGCCAATGGGGGAAATCGGCAAATTCTTTGAAAATCATTCTTTATTTCGCAGGAATGGTTTTATTCTGTTCCAATTTAGTCTGAAGCATCTTTTGAAGAAGGGAAATCAATTTTGTTTAAATGATGGTTTCATCTCTTGGAGATGGCAACGGCAGGTTCCAATAGGGAAAATAGGAAAAGTTGTTTAAAATCCTTCTCCTTTTGTAGGAAAGCAAGGATCATGCTTCAGTTTGGTCCGAAGAATCCTTTAGCAAAGAGGAATCTATTATGTATAAATAGTGGGTCACAGTCCCTGTGGCAGGAAGGGTGAGGTCCAATATGGGAAATAGAGATTCTGTCCCAATTTGGTCTGAAGCATCTCAAGGTGAAAAAAGCCAATGATTAGTGTCATAACTGCCCTGTGGTTGGAAGGGTGGTGTCATAGCTGCCCCTGTGGTTGGAAGGGTGGGGCCCAGTAGGGGATATATAACAAATTCACTGAAATCCTTCTGCTGACTATAAATGACAGTATTTTGTTGAGATTTGGTATGAACAGGGCCGGAAGAAAAATACTGCAAATCAATAAATTCCAGAATCATTGTTAATGATATTTTGCAGTGAAGTGCCAAGGCAAAGGGTATGGCAAATGGTGAACCAAAAGTGTGAATTATATGGTCTCAACTTCCCAGAGGCCTCCTGTCAAGATATGGTATTATGAAACACTCTTCTTTGGAAGAGTCTTCAGGTGTTAAATAGTAAATTTCATGACCCATGGTTCTCACTTTACCACATGGGGAGGTGGATAAAGTTTATGATAGTTTATATAGTAAACATATAGTTTTGATTATAATTTGTTTTAAATTTTCAATGGAAATTATTTATAGCTGTTGCCAGTTATGAACTTGGGATTGCAGTGTAGAGTTATAAATATTTTTCATTTGAATTGCACCTGTATACCATAGTTCAAGTTGTCTGAATTTGTCAACATGAGCATAATTTTTTGCATATTTATGTTGTAACAAAACAGACAGCTTTTATAGGGCTAAATTAGGGAAATGTACTCCTTAGTCCAAAAGCTGAAAAGATTATTCTCCACATAAAAACAGACTTTTTTCCTGTTATTCAGTGGTTGACAGAAATAATCTTTCTCCATTGCAGAGCCATCAGCTGTCACTTTGGTTGGAAGATCATATTTCTTAATTAAAGTGAAGTTATCAAAATCATTTTGTTTTCAATCGTATAAGGTGCATGAAGTCCATGATAAAACATTATGCATCTGGAGGAATAGAGCCGCTGAATAAGAGCACTAATGTATTTGCAATGGTCAGTCATTTCTGTGAGATCAAAGACCAGTGACGCTTTGTGATCCCTTTATGTCCACCATTATTGTTTTATTTTCATGGCATAATGTCACAAATTGGTTTGAAAAAAATTCACATTCCACAAACATTGTCAGAGGACAACACAGCCATGATCCCTGTTCTTTAACTGTTGTTTCTTATGGAGACGTGTTGTCAAGTCTGGACGTCATGTGACAGCTTTTCTGACCCATAATTATCTCAACGTCCAAATATGGATGTAATCCCAGACAAACCCACTTCCTTGGAAACACAAATTCTGACACGATATCATTAAAGCTCAACTTATCTGTCTTTGTCAAGCCCAACAAATTACATGTCTATACAAAACATGGTGGAATAATAAGGGTTGATGGGGCAGGAGTATTTTAAGTCCATCGTAAAACGTTGTCCCCTTAACTGTATAGTAAATGGGCAATTACAAGATGTTCAAAGTGAGGCTTCGTGTTACTGTCATTGAAATCTCTACATTCTTTAGTTGTCTTGTACAAATTTGTGATTGAATCTGTTTTGGTAGACCATGATATACATGTACAATGGTATTCTCAACCTCACAATGGATCAGCCCTGAGATAAAGTCTGTTAGCAGTATCCTCTTGTAGACAGTACATGGGACAACCTCAACATATCCACTCCAGTAAGTCATTTTGATATCCAGACCCTCCAGTGTTCTTCCTAGACATTTTCAACTTGGAAGCAAATGTAAATCCGTCACACAACAGAGATTAAGGTGTTGAAGGCAGGTGACATTACATAGATTACAAACTGACAAGGCAGAGTAGATCAAAACGGTTGCAGAAATAATGGTTATATCAGGTGAATACTGTAATATAATAGGTAACTGGTTGAGATGACAACTATACAGGGACAGAAAATTAGATGAAATAACAGCTGTTTAGAAAGTGACAAATACCTACTAAATGACAATTGTATAGAAGTTTAAAGTGTAGGAGCTGGCAGCTGTGTAGGAGGTGACAAGTGTATAGGAGCTGGCAGCTGTGTAGGAGTTGACAACTGTGTAGGAGTTGACAAGTGTATAGGAGCTGGCAGCTGTGTAGAAGGTGACAAATGTATAGGAGCTGGGAGCTGTGTAGGAAATGACAAGTATATAGGAGCTTGCAGCTGTGTAGGAGGTGACAAGTATATAGAAGCTTGCAGCTGTGTAGGAGGTGACAAGTATATAGGAGCTGGCAGCTGTGTAGGAGGTGACAAGTAGATAGGAGCTTGCAGCTGTGTAGGAGGTGACAAGTATATAGGAGCTGGCAGCTGTGTGGGAGGTGACAAGTATATAGGAGCTGGCAGCTGTGTGGGAGATGACAAGTATATAGGAGCTTGCAGCTGTGTAGGAGATGTCAAGTATATAGGAGCTGGCAGCTGTGTGGGAGGTGACAAGTATATAGGAGCTTGCAGTTGTGTAGGTTGTGACAAGTATATAGGAGCTGGCAGCTGTGTGGGAGGTGACAAGTATATAGGAGCTTGCAGCTGTGTAGGAGGTGACAAGTATATAGGAGCTGGCAGCTGTGTAGGAGGTGACAAGTATATAGGAACTGGCAGTTTGTGTAGGAGGTGACAAGTGTATAGGAGCTGGCAGCTGTGTAGGAGGTGACAAGTATATAGGAGCTGGCAGCTGTGTAGGAGTTGACAAGTGTATAGGTGACAAGTATATAGGAGCTGGCAGCTGTGTAGGAGGTGACAAGTGTATAGGAGCTGGCAGCTGTGTAGGAGGTGACAAGTAGATAGGAGCTGGCAGCTGTGTAGGAGGTGACAAGTATATAGGAGCTGGCAGCTGTGTAGGAGGTGACAAGTGTATAGGAGCTGGCAGCTGGCTAGGAGTTGACAAGTGTATAGCAGCTGGCAGCTGTGTGGGAGATGACAAGTGTATAGGAGCTGACAACTGTGTAGGAGTTGACAGGTGTATAGGAGCTGGCAGCTGTGTAGGAGATGACAATTGTTTAGGAGCTGGCAGCTGGCTAGGAGGTGACAAGTGTATAGGAACTGGCAGCTGTGTGGGACGTGACAAGTGTAAAGGAGCTGACAGCTGTGTAGGAGGGGACAAGTATATAGGAGCTGGCAGCTGTGTGGGAGGTGACAAATGTATAGGAATTGACAGCTGTGTAGGAGGTGACGAAGTATATAAGAGCTGGCAGCTGTGTAGGAGGTGACAAGTGTATAGGAGCTGGCAGCTGTGTAGGAGGTGACAAAAATAAAAATGGCAATTTTGTGAGGTGACAAGTATATAGGAGCTGGAAAAGTTTAATTATTGTACGTCACGTGATCTTAACAATTAATATTTTGAACCGTAATTTACACTTTAGCTCTCCTTTTCTCAATGGAAAATTGTTCTGAAGACAGCTGGCCTAGCCAACCAAAACATGTCAACAAATATAATTTAAGCTACAAAATCCCTGGTGTTGATGCTCCATCCTATATCTACTTGTGATTATGTATCATCTATGGAGCTCTACTAGAATACTCCAGTATCCACCTAGGATTCCTCCACCAATACTCCTACCAACCAGTACCACACACAGGCTGTTGGACTCCTCTACCCATACACCAACCAGTACCACACACAGGACTTTGGATAACTCTACCGATACACCTACCAACCAGTACCACCCACAGGACGTTGGATTCCTCTACCCATACACCAACCAGTACCACCCACAGGACATTGGACTCTTCCATCCTTTTGTACTTTTCCAGAATGTGACAATTGTGTAGGAGGTGACAAGTGTATAAGAGGTGACAACTGTGTAGGATGTGACAATTGTGTAGGATGTGACAAGTGTGTAGGATGTGACAATTGTATATGAACAGGCAGCTGTGTAGGAGGTGACAAGTGTGTAGGAGGTGACAATTGTGTAGAAGTTGACAAGTGTATATGAGCTGGCAGCTGTGTAGGAGGTGACAAGTGTGTAGGATGTGACAAGTGTATAGGAGCTGACAGCTGTGTAGGAGGTGACAAGTGTGTAGGAGTTGGCAATTGTGTAGGATGTGACAATTGTGTAGGATGTGACAAGTGTGTAGGATGTGACAATTGTATATGAACAGGCAGCTGTGTAGGAGGTGACAAGTGTGTAGGAGGTGACAATTGTGTAGAAGTTGACAAGTGTATATGAGCTGGCAGCTGTGTAGGAGGTGACAAGTGTGTAGGATGTGACAAGTGTATAGGAGCTGACAGCTGTGTAGGATGTGACAATTGTGTAGAAGTTGACAAGTATATATGAACTGGCAGCTGTGTAGGAAGTGACAAATGTTATAGGGAGTGACAATGCGTATTGAATGTGACAATTGTTACTATGAAATAGGAAATGACCTATGAGAAAAGCTGACAACTGTACAGTAAGTGATGAATTTTAAAAAGCTGGCATCTGTTAAGGAAGTGGCAAGGTTTACAGTGGTAACAACTGTTACTGTGAAATAGGAAATGACCTATGACAGGAGCTGACAACTGGACAATAACGACAAATATAAAGGAAGTGACAACAGTTTTACTTTGGCGACAACTGTTAAGGAATGGTCAAGGTTTAGGAAAAGATAACAATATAGGAGAGGACAACTCTATAGAAGCTGAAACTGCCTAATGTAACAAACTGACAACTGAATAGAAAGTTTTGCCAGTTATGGCTCATCAGGGCAAAATTACAATTTCTTGCCCCTAACGTACCCCCAAAGTGTTATCGTCATCACATAATGTTTATTGTTTTCTAGTACGGTGGAAATATATCGATGACATCTTTTTCTATCTTGACCCAATCACGTGAGGATCTCACCACCTTCATGGAACTCATTTCACACCACGATCAAACAAACCACAGAGATAAGTACTAAGAAAGTTGCCTTTTTTTTCATAAAGGAGGATAACACGTTAGGAACCAGAGTCTTTAACAAGCCCACTACTGCATTCATGTATCTAAATTATTACAGCTGTCACCCTTTACACCAAAAAGACAACTTATTTTATACACAAGCATTAATGGTTAGGAAATTATGCAGTGCAGATACATATTTTGAGGAGGAATGCAAAGAATTTTTGAATAGCTTCCTTAAATAGGGATACCCTATATAGTGAAGCTGTTAACCAATCCAGGAACAAGTCATGAAATGATTTGTTTACAAACAAAACAGAAACGGCAACAAGTTTTGTACCATTTACACTAGCTACCTTACAACCCACAATATTCACCTATAATCAGAACCATACATGAGCACAAGAACTTTCCGAAGGACAATTTAAAAAGCATACTACAGGGAAGACATAAAGTGTATTAGGGCGCAAAAACTGTAAAAGCCTCAATTATGTGTAATAAATGTGGCATCCAATATGTTGGACAAACAGTAAACGTCAGAAGCCAAGGTCATCTTTATGATATACAGAACTAAGATAAATGTAAACCAGTAGCAGTACATTTCTCATTGCCCGATCATACTGTCAATGATGTCAAGGTTGTTGGCATAACGACGAGCGTCAGTGACGTCACCAATAGGCTACGAGCTGAGGAAGCGTGGATTCAAACATTGAAAATCAAGCAGCCATGGGGAGTGAACGTTATTGTATAATGGTTAAAACAAAATCAACGCCGCGGAAGATTGAAAAGGCGATACCTTGTATACGATGTGGGAAAACATATGCAAGCCTAAAGACTTTAAAGAGACAGTCATGTAATTTGTGCCATATGGTATTAGTGTAAGATTTGCAGAAAATGGTTCACCAGGAAGGATGCTCATGGGAGGCACATTAGAGCAGATACCAGGTGGAACCAGAGATTTTTACGCAAGAGCTTGGGAAACCAGAACTGTTTAGAAGACCAGAGGAGGCATTGACAAGGAAACGGTTAGAGAGAGTGAAGTTTCGTATAAAACCGGCACAGACTCTTTCTGTCATTGATTATCACAGCTAAACAAGACTGGGCCTAGACACTGCAATGGAAAGGGTGTGAAAAGATCTTGAACTAAGTGACAGTGAGTCGGATAGCAGAGCCTCTGTTCCTAATCCATCAGAAGAAGAGGATGGAGATGATTGACTTTAAAGCATAATGATTGCTAAGACAAAAAAGACTAATATATATATATAGAGAGACATAAGGTAAAACATACGTGGTATAGCATGTTAATCACTGGTAAATAGGATAATTGTTGCACTTTTATATAAAGTAAAAAATCTACATTTTAAAATAATGTGGTAATTAGAGTTATGGCCCCTGTGGCAATGGAATAATATATTATCATGTGATGAGGGTATCACTTAAAGGGTGCATTAGGGGCAAGAAATTGTCGTAATTTTGCCCTGACGATCTGTAACTGACAAAACCAGAAATAACTTATACCTACTACTTAACTTGTTGAAATTGGTTAATGTTGAACACTCCTACATATGGTGTCTTATTAATTTTATTGAGTGATTCCCTGCATACCCGTTGGTATCCATCTTCCAGGGATTGAACTACCTAAAGATCCTACATATCTACAGGCTTGGCTCCTTCCTCCATCTTTTGGAATGGAAAGTTACAATTGACTAGTAACTGACACATATCCCGGTATAGTAGGTGGCATCTGTACAGTAATTTGTAGGAAGTGACAACTCTATAGGAAATGACAGTTATATAGGTGTTGACAACTATATACGTATATGAGATGACAACTATATACGTATATGAGATGAGAACTATATACGTATATGAGATGACAACTATATAGGTATATGAGATGACAGCTGTTTATAAGGAGATGACAGCTGTATAGATATATGAGATGACAGCTGTTTACAAGGAGATGACAGCTGTATAGGTATATGAGATGACAGCTGTATAGGTATATGAGATGACAGCTGTTTACAAGGAGATGACAGCTGTATAGGTATATGAGATGACAGCTGTATAGATATATGAGATGACAGCTGTTTATAAGGAGATGACAGCTGTATAGATATATGAGATGACAGCTGTTTACAAGGAGATGACAGCTGTATAGGTATATGAGATGACAGCTGTTTATAAGGAGATGACAGCTGTATAGGTATATGAGATGACAGCTGTATAGGTATATGAGATGACAGCTGTATAGGTATATGAGATGACAGCTGTATAGGTATATGAGATGACAGCTGTTTATAAGGAGATGACAGCTGTATAGGTATATGAGATGACAGCTGTATAGGTATATGAGATGACAGCTGTATAGGTATATGAGATGACAGCTGTATAGATATATGAGATGACAGCTGTATAGGTATATGAGATGACAGCTGTATAGGTATATGAGATGACAGCTGTTTATAAGGAGATGACAGCTGTATAGGTATATGAGATGACAGCTGTTTATATAAGGTGATGACAGCTGTATAGATATGAGATGACAGCTGTATAAGGAGATACAGCTGTATAGAGATGACAGCTGTTTATAAGGTGATGACAGCTGTATAGGTATATGAGATGACAGCTGTATAGGTATATGAGATGACAGCTGTTTATAAGGAGATGACAGCTGTATAGGTATATGAGATGACAGCTGTTTATATAAGGTGATGACAGCTGTATAGGTATATGAGATGACAGCTGTTTATAAGGAGATGACAGCTGTATAGATATATGAGATGACAGCTGTTTACAAGGAGATGACAGCTGTATAGGTATATGAGATGACAACTGTATAGGTATATGAGATGACAGCTGTTTATATAAGGTGATGGCAGCTGTATAGGTATATGAGATGACAGCTGTTTATAAGGAGATGACAGCTGTATAGATATATGAGATGACAGCTGTTTATAAGGTGATGACAGCTGTATAGGTATATGAGATGACAGCTGTTTATAAGGAGATGACAGCTGTATAGGTATATGAGATGACAGCTGTATAGATATATGAGATGACAGCTGTATAGGTATATGAAATGACAGTTGTACAGGAGGTGACAAATGTATATGAGGTGACAAATGTATATGAGAAGTCAAATGTGTAGATATATGATATGACAACTGTGTAGGAGGTGACAATGTAAAAGAGATCATGACTATGTAGGTATATGAGACAATAACTGTACAGTAGGTGACAAATGTATATAAGGTGACAACTATTTAGAAGGTGACAATGTATAGGAGGTGACAAATGTATATAAGGTGACAACTATTTAGAAGGTGACAATGTATAGGAGGTGACAAATGTATATAAGGTGACAACTATTTAGAAGGTGACAACTGTATAGAAGGTGACAATGTATAGAAGGTGACAACTGTATAGGAGGTGACAATGTATAGAAGGTGACAATGTATAGGAGGTGACAATGCATAGGAGGTGACAATGTATAGGAGGTGACAATGTATAGGAAGTGACAATGTAAAGAAGGTGACAACTGTATAGGAGGTAACAATGTATAGAAGGTGACAATGTAAAGAAGGTGACAATGTATAGAAGGTGACAACTATTTAGAAGGTGACAACTGTATAGAAGGTGACAATGTATAGAAGGTGACAACTATTTAGAAGGTGACAACTGTATAGAAGGTGACAATGTATAGGAGGTGACAATGCATAGGAGGTGACAATGTATAGGAGGTGACAATGTATAGGAAGTGACAATGTAAAGAAGGTGACAACTGTATAGGAGGTAACAATGTATAGAAGGTGACAATGTATAGGAGGTGACAACTATTTAGAAGGAGACAACTGTATAGGAGGTGACAATGTA